AAAGCTTAGAGAAAATATTTATTAAAATTTATTTTAATTTAAAATTTAAATTTAAATTTAATTTATATGCAGAATTCTAAGAGAAACTACTCCTACTATTCCTCAGAATTTAAGCAAATAAATGTGCACTAAATCTATGCCTGTAGCTTAACTTATCTGCGCTGGCCATCAATTGCGGCGGTACCCATTAAGGGGGTCAACCAAATAGCAAAGCGATTTCGTTCGCACTTTGTTTGACTGGACAAACAGTTGACCGGAAACACCCGTCAAATCACGGTCTCTATGTCTATATCTCAACAACCCATAACCAGAGCCAGTGTCAGAGCTTGCTTTTGACAGGACATTGCCTAATTAAAATGGCAAATCGTCAGCCACAACAAGGACTTTGGCAACACTGGTCAACTAGCAGCACATCAACATTAGGCGCGGGGCAGCAACAGCAGAGGCAACAGCCAATCGAGATGCAAATTTATGCGCCGCCTGCTCTACAAAAACAAAGGAAAAATGGCCAAAAAACCTCTGCGAAATGTACCATCAAAATTATGCGCACACGCATACACAGTTATACACATGGACACATTTAGATACAGATACAGATAAAGTGGATGCCGAATTTTACACTGGCTCTTCGATGATAAATTCGCTGCAGTTTGCGGGCAAAATACGAAATAAATTTTAATTTGATTAACGATTTTTTGGTCCATTTGGAGCATTTCCATTTGTCGCAGACGAAAATGGATTGGTTGGCTCTGGCTATGGCTATGGCTATGGCTCTGGCTTCCCCTTAACTTTTTTTTTTCTCGGTGCGTTTAACTTTCGGTGCTGCGGCGAAAACTTTTTTGAACTAGTTTGGTAATTAATTTTCATATGGTGCAAGTGGGTTACGATTCATTAACTTCGGCCAGGGGCCGACTGAATTTTGGGCGGTAGTTGGGGAGTTTGCAGCTTCTTTTGTCGGCGTCAGGTTGTTTGCTTTCCATTCCGCTAACAGGTCAGCACCAGTAGAGCCCTTGCAAACCTTGTCACGTTTTGTGGAGTGGACCAAAACGCGTTGCACCCTGATTATCGGGCGGCTGTTGCTGCTGTACCGCTTGTTTACTGGGTCAACATTTCGCTTGAATGGAGTGGAATGCCTCCTTGCAGGTAAATGCACAAGCAACCAGTCCAAAACTCACATCAAACCTAATCAGAAGAGCGCCGCCCCCTTGCTGTGATGATGGGAATGCGAAATCCTGTCGGTTGGTTTTGGCCTGCCAAATTGATTATAGTCAATATCGGCGCGTGTTTGCGCTCCGAATGCATGAATTGGGTAATTGATATTCGATAATCGCTGTCAGTGCACTGTTATGTATCTTAAAGTGCAATGTGTAATGCTCGTAGAGATCCCTAAAAGTAACCAGCTCTGTAAAGGAACCTCTAAAGTGGAATGCCTCACACACTCAAGCGGCTTTTGCACCCACATGGACGACATTGACTAAAGGGCCATTCATGGCACGTTAGCAGGGTGTCAGTGGCCATGCCTCTATCAAGGGTCCAAGGGTTGTTCTCGGTGTCCTGCTTCCTGTTTATAGCTGGCCAACACTTGTCATACTCGGTGGCATGTAAAAATGGATGTGATGGGTCTCGTCTCTCCAGTCTGGCACGACCAACGTACGATACGACGCGACGCGACGTTGCAGTGCATTTTTAAAGAGAACTTTTAGCTGTTTTTGGCCACAGAATACATCAATTTAAGTGCAGTTGTAGGAGCTACAGGGCACATGTCATACACATAGATCATGTCCTGTGCGAGGCGAGGCACTGCCTGTGGGTTCAAGATACGACTAGGTTTTCAACTCCTAATAGAGTCATTCTGTGGTTTGGCAATTAAGTCAATGCTAACGAAGCTGCTGCCCACACACAACACCACACACTGATGGGCATTCAAACAGACAGTCCGCAGTCCGCAGTACGCAGTCCGACAGAGAGGCACATTCATTCTGTGGGGCACAAAAATTACGCAGACAGCAATAATTAATTAGATACACAATAAATTACTCATATGCCAGTGGCAGCCCACAAGTAAAATGAAGACAAAATGAATTTATGTGTGTGTCGGCCTGTGGGTAGAGAATGACATGGAGCACACATCTGCCCACATATAAAATAAAGAGAACCATTTTGTGACTTTACTTCACATCTATGTAGAGTTTTTTTGAAACTGAACGTAATCATTTCAATGTTAATTCATTCTTTGCAGACACTCATATATGAGAAATCAAGTGCAAAAAGGAGAATTAAAAGCATTCTGTGCTGTCCCTGTGTAGCCACAACTATTAAATACACAAAAGCAAAAGAACAATGAGGGTAAAAAGCTGAGAAATCACAGAGCGAGCGACAAGGAGGAGGGAATAAAAACGAGGGCAAAGATTGCAGACCAAAGCAAAGAGCAACAAGAACTATAATTTCCTAAAGGACTTAATTATTTTATAATAAGCACATAACACAAGCGAGCAGTCCAACGACTGGGGACTGCGGACTGGACAGAGAGGGAGAGAGAGTACGAGTACGAGGCATTAGCTGTACAGACGATTCGGTCTCAGGATGCTGCACAAATGCTACGGCAAAAGTTGCAAAAGTTTTTCCACGACTCCACGACAATCGGTCAAAAGAATGGAAAGCGGAAAAGTAGTCAAGCGGCGAGTGAAAACCCCAAGCAGCATAAATTGTGAAAATATTACAGATTGCTGTTTCTCTTGCTGCTTGCTCTCTGCTCAATTTTCCGCTTGCTTTTTTTAACTTTTTTTTCTTATTAATAAATTGATGCTTGAGTGAATTCCAGCAATTAATATTGATTTTCTCAAAGTTGTTGTGGCTATTTGGTCAGAATTTTGTTTGGGGCTTAAGCAGAAAATTCTCTCATTGGAATGCCACATTTTGCTGCTGTCTATTAGCAGCGAATTAAAGTTGACTTTGTCTTCAATAATTAGCACTTATATCAAAGTTCTCGCTGCTCAAAGCTTTATTTGCATAAACTTCAATCTGTTGGCATTGAAGTGAGGAAATTGCCATTGGAGTATTTCTCTCTTTCTTCTGCATATATTTCCATCCATTCCAGGCAGCCCAGCCTCAGCCTTAGCACCAACCCATCCCCGCATTAACATTAAGCCTGCATAAATTCGCATTACGCATACGCCCCGCATACGGCAGGCGCTGTAACAAACATGGACAAACATTTAAACACTTCAAAAACAATATAAATTCATTCAGAGAGTGCGGGCGGGCCACTATCCCCACTATAACCATAAGCAATAAAATACACAGACCACCATGCAGACATCGGATAGGCCACCAGAATAGGAGAGGACATGGCCATGGACATACAACAACGATGGCAAGCCAACAACAATGCATAAATAAAGACCAATGCCAAACAATTGATACTTCGACCAAAGGAACAGAGCAAACGGCCATCGAACGATTTGTACGAATTTATATAACCAAAGCGGAAGTGTGGTAGGGCGACAGCCAGACCTATACAGACAGACAAACACACAATACACACACACACACAACTAAACATTGAAACAAACATGCCAAAATGTGCGAGGGGGAAGGGAGCGGAGTGAGCGGTTTGGTTTGTTGAGAGTCCCAGTGTCAGACCCAGTCCCAGAGCAAAACCCCCTACGGATCCGAAGCAAATTCATTTGAATTGCAAAACAAACACAGGCGAAGACCCCAACGTTGACGACATTGAAGGCCTACTACACGGAGTTTGGACGGGAGTCCGGCTAAACGAGCTTAATCATGTTGTAAATTTGCATAATTTGACATGTGTATGTGAGTGGGGGGAGTGTCCTTATATGTGTGTGTGGTATCCAATTGATATATAATATATATGTTGCTCTATATATTTTTAGACTTATAACAAAAGAAAATTAGTTCTAAACTTATATTTAATTTGAATAATTAGCACTACTTACAGCACGTAAAGAGCTAAAAGCTATCCCCCAATGGAGGAGAGACTCCTTATAATCAACCGATTTATAAAAGTCTTATACGCTCACGAACTGTGCTGCAATTGCTGAACCAGTCGTGACTGCACAATCTCATTCTAAACTACACCCATATAGATGTGATTATATTGCAGTGGGAGTCCACCGTCTCATGGTCCCCTAGCCGTGGTCCCTTGTCCATTGTCCGTGCCCTGTCAGACATTATGACAACTTAATTGAAGGTTATGCGTGACCACAGTCAGATGGAAGCTTCTCATGCATCGCTCGTCTCATGGTTAGCGCTGGGGCAGGGACTACGACAACGATAACGACAACGACAACGCATTCAATTGCAATAAATGTGATTACTTTACAATTAGGTTTGTGATTACTGCTACAATTTGCTGACGTATTTATTAAGATATTGCAATAGCATGAGAGTGGAACACAATGGGCATTCATAGATCTTATAGCTATAAATACTAGGAACAACACTCAACCAGTAGCAGCAGCAGAGGCAGTGGACAGGCACCCCTCTACTTGTTAGCGCTTGAAAATTCAGGGGCTTTCCCCTCCCCAACCCCCTTAAAAGCTTGTCAGTTAATAGAAAACAAGTGACATTTTCCTCCAGCACTTTTCCGCCTGCACCATGCTAGGGTCCTTCATAATTAAGTCTAAATGAAGAGCTCGCTTCGTGTAGAAAACTTGGCTTGACCCCCACCCCATACCAAAGAGGAATGGGTGAAAGAAAAAGGGTAATGGGAATGGTGATGGTGGCGAGTGAGTACATGCAAGTGTTTGCAGTTTAATGGAATTTTTAATTTCTGCGCTGTTCTGCGTTGCGGAGCAGCAGCAATGGGAATAGCTGCAAGTACCCGAAGCTGACATTATTACAAATTTTTTATTATTATTAAAAATGCAGAAAACATTAAAAGCGACACACAAATTTGTAGCCGAAAGTCGTGCTAGGACAAGTCTCCTCCTGCAAGCCTGATTACTTAAATGGACATCGCGCCCACACCCATCTTAACGTGGCCGGAAGGCAGCCAGCCAGGAGAGCAGCAGCTCCAGCAGAAACACCAATGCACTGGCCATCATGGCCAGCACTAGGGCAAAGAGAGCCGGTGCAAAGTGCTCCAGATCCACCTCCACCTGGGAGGCCTTGAAGAGGCTACAGTCCGGCTTGTTCACCGACCACAAGCGGTCATTGTACTGCATCAGGCCGGTGGCCCGCAGGTGTAGGATGGCATGGGCTAGATGTTCGCGCCAGGGCGAGCCCTTGGCCATCACGGAGGCGGACGCATAGGGGGGATTGAACATAATTTCCTGGAGCTCGCAGAACTCGCGCTCCTCTATGCGCAGCTCGAGGAGCAGCCTGTACAGACGATCGATGGCCGTATGAAATGCAAAACGACCCTTTATAATCCGCTCGGCTCCCTGCTCCAAGCTGATAATATTTTGCTGGCCAGATCGACAGATCTTCTTGGTGTAGACATCTCTAACCAGCGGCCCACTGGTGTTACCGAAAACCGCAAAATTATAGGTGATATTCTCCATGCCGATGTCCAGATTGCTCTCGTACAACGCCCGCAGATTGACAATGCTCCTGGGGTTGTCTGAGAGCAGGGAACCCACAATGAAGGCGCCATAGAACTGCAGCAACATGTAGCTGAAGATGCAGCTGGAGCTGATCAGCACACGGGTCGACAACAGTCGGAAGAGCTCGGTGGCCGGACCCTGCTGCAGATACGTCTCCAGCATGCTGAACCACACAAAGGCCACTCGTCGCTCCACAAGATTTCCATGCTGGCGCCCCTCATGGCGGATGTGAAGCAACAGCAATAGAGTGCTGAATGTAATCAGGCACAGGACGCACCACCACACCTGAGTGCTTAGTGGCTCAAAGAATATGTTCCGGATGTGACTGTGTCGCGGATGGCGAAACAAAAAGTGAATGCTGCAAGAAAAGAGAGTTGGAGCACTGCTGGTGCCCAAGTAATCGAAGGATAGCAAGTATCTGCTCACGGCTGGATATGGAGAACGGGTGAGTACAGCACGTAGTGCTGTCTGTCCGGGACAAAGCGAATGGGACACACGGCAAAATCGGCCTCCCCGTTGGTTATCTGACCCATCACACCCGACCAGCTGCCGTTGGCCAGCTGCTGGCCCCAGTTATCCGTGAAGCTTATGGCCAAACTGCAAGTTGGCTTATTAGCGCGTACTCGGATACCACTCTGCCCCACTCCCACCTGAGATTATACATCCGCTGGACGAGTCGGAACAATTGATAGGTCTTTCGCTGCATGGGATCCAGTTGCAGCAGCTGCTTATCGTCGGCCAGGTACTCCATGTCCTCATAGCCCAAAGGTTTCTCTGTCAGCTGGATGAATTTTGAGGAAAGATGAGAGAATCCGCCACCCAAAAGGGTGCATGCGTACCGCTGTGCTGCCTCGCAGGGTGACATTGAGAAAGTTGCGCCTCCGAATTATCCAGCTGCTACAAAAGGTGTCCATCAGCTTGTAACCCTGCCACGGAGACCACTCTCCCTTTCTCTGCACAATCAGGGGGGCACTTGGCACTTGCTGATTAATCTTGTACACATCATAAAGCCGCCACGAGGTGCTGCAAGTTATCCGAAATATTAGCTGCATGCCCATAAAGTTACCTCGTTAATCGCCCAACTTATCTCTGGCCTTCATAGCCACAGTGATATCCGCATCAATTCCCATCTTGTAGCCACCTAAGTGCTGCAAAATTTGTGCCTCATCTGGTTGGGATACCCGACTGGTGCCCAGCATAAACCATGCCAGCGAATTGTTAAAGTATCCTGCCGCAGAGGCCACCGCGTAGACCCACTGCTTGACAAGACGGTGCTCGAATTTTAGCACCAGAACCGCTGTACGCGGTGCCCCATAGTACATGAGATCCTCGAAATTGTGGGAAATTCCTGGCTGATAAAATTGCACACGATAGTTGGCCAACAATTTCTGGTGGCATTCAATTTGCCAGTCGCCATCCCAGTCCCCGTCGCCATCGCCATCGCCAACGCCATCTCCTTTCATACGGACGACAAGCGACTGCTGCAAGTGCTGCGACCGCAGAAAGTCCTCGAAGGCTGCCAGCTCAAGGAAATTGGTATTTATGCTTTCAATTTGTGGCGTGCATAAAAATCCTGTTAAAATTATAAAAACCCATGAAATAACTTTCACTTGCAACTTAATCATTTTATATGGCCACTTTCACTTTGACTCGAAGCTCAGTTCTGCTTCCTTCCACTCTGCGGATTGTGTTTGCTTTCGCGTCTGCCGTTTTTATAGGGTTTCATACGCCATCTGCATGTGCATAATTTATGCACATTTATCATATCAGCGATACATGTACTATATATCCGGGACGCACGCAAATTGTGCGGTTGACAAGAAAAGTGCGCAGAAAGGAATGGCGAAAATGGCTGGAATTATTGCTAAATGTGCGTAATAAAAGATTGGTCTTGTAATACAAAGGATTTCGAATAAAATGAGAGACATGACTTTGTCAGAGAGGGAGAGATGGAGAGAAAGAGGGCTAGCAGAGCTCGAGAGATAGGTATAAATTAATCTTTAACCCTTTAATCGAACACCAAAAGTATGAAACAGCAATATTAGTCAAACTTTTGCCAATTTCTATGATCTTGCAATTTTCAACTGGTTCTAGCCACACAGACCAGAGAAAGTAGCTGTTTTCCGTAATTTATTTATTTTATTTTAATTAAAATTTTATTTTTACTGGTATTTTAAATATTTTTTTGATATTTTTTTATTTTATTTTTGAAATAAATTTATTTATCAATGTTGTATGTTTTTATATTATTGAAAAATGATTAGCGTCACGAAAAATTACAAGTGCAGCCAGTTAAAGAGGCATGTGAAATCAGCAGCGCGATAAAAGTGAAAGAAAAAGAGAGTTATCTTAACAGAGAAAGACCAAATTCTCTTGTGTCGTTAAAGCGGCATGTTCATTTTTTTGCGACAGTGAAAGGGTTATAGAGAGAGAGCGAGAGACCCCTTGGCCTACATTCTTAATCTCTTGTCAACTATACATATACATTACGCTCTTGCTTGATCGAAAATAACCTTTCCTGTTGTATTTAAGCGAAAAAGAGAGTTATCTTAACAGAGAAAGAACAAATTATCTTGTGTCGTTAAAGCGGCATGTTCATTTTTTTTGCGACAGCGAAAGAGTTATAGAGAGAGAGCGAGAGACCCCTTGACCTACATTCTTAATCTCTTGTGAACTATACATATACATTACGATCTTGCTTGATCGAAAATAAACTTTCCTGTTGTATATAAGCTGCTAGTTAACGACAATTTTGATTGCTTGAGAATACAAAAATTTGGGAAATACTCAAGCTAATCCTCCTAAAAACGAGAAGGAACGTTTTGAGTCGCTTCTGTGGACGCGACTCTACTTTTATACCCGTGCTCAGCTTATGAGCTTATGATTTATGCAGGATTTTAAAATATTTTACATTTTAGACATCTAAGATAGTCTTGAAATACGCTTGTAGCTGTGTGATATCGCGTTAGTCTGGAAACATAATTTGGTTGCTCTAGCTCTTATAGTCTCTGAGAACTAGGCGGTCATCAAGACGGACGGACAGACAGACAGACGGAGGCTTTTGATCAATCATGCTGATAAATCATGCTGATCAAAAATATATATACTTTATGGGGTCGGAAACGTTTCCTTATTTGCGTTGCATACATCCACTTTTACCAAAAGTACAATATACCCTTTAACTCTCTGAGTATGTAATTGTATAAAAAGTATTAAAAATCATTGAAATACAAAATAATCAAGAATATTGTTTACATATTCCGTGACTTCGTGTCCATTTCAAACGACTTTTGATAAATTTCACTGCTGTGCCGTTCATTTACCATCCACCTAGAACACTAAAGTGAGCGTACAGCCGAAATCCAATAACTAGACGCAACATTAAGCAGGACAAAGCTGCTGGCATTAGCGTGACATTATCCGACTGCAGCCAAGAAGTTACAAGAAACGGCAAAAACGCGTGTTAGCATCCACGAAACGAAGCCAAGGACCTTAGCGTGTGTCCCTTGTGCAACTGTGTATGTATTCGTACCTCTGTGTGTGTGTGTGTGTGTGTGTGTGTGAGTGTGAGCACGGAAAATTTTGTGAAACTTGAAAGCAAATCCTGCAGCTTGCAACTTAATTTCATGGCACGCGGCTGCTCTGCCGCGTTGCATGCGGCAACTTCATTCGGGCAATTTGCTTCACGACAGCTTGCCACGTGCTACACACAGAGAGAGAAAGAGAGAGGGAGACACGAAGAAGGCGGAACGAAAATGCAGAAAATGGCAGCGAGATAGAGTCCTGCAAGGACTTTAAGACTGCTTTGAAATTAAAAGGAATTACATTCAATTTGTTGACATTTTTGCGGATGCGGATGCAGCTGCAGCCTTTATCACTCCCCGCCCCCTTTGTTTTTTGGGCTCTCTCTTTTGTGCTGGTGGGGGCGTGGTAATGACAAGAAACATTTTCCACAAGGCCAAATGCAAATGAGCAGCAGGAGCAGCAGAAGCAGCATCAGCTACAGCACATACAACTAGTCCTCTCAAATGTATTCATTGCAAAGCGGAAAGTTTTCCCAACATTTTATCGCAAGATTTTCTCATCGAATACGCGAGCTGCATGCGGAAGACAGCCAGCGATTCACTTTCTCTCTATCTCTTGAGCGGAGCAATTGTGCCATTAAAGCGATGCCCACACACTCTGGCACACACTCAAACTCAGGCGAACAAACGAACAAAAAAATGCCACTGAAAATTGCGCATACGCCATGTTGCACGCTTAAATATTTCGCTTTTAAATTTTGTGCTGCTTTTTCTACGGCTTGCCGTTTCCTTCCTTTCGTTTCTTGACATTTTCTCACACATGCCAGACATTTGCACATTTGTATGCGCGAAAAGTTTTATTTAATTTCTCATATGAAAATATTATTTGTCGCTGCCATCCATCGGGGGAGGAGTTTGCTTCGTTCCTTCACATCAGGGGCATACACATACACACACACAGAGGCCACAGGTGAAATTTATCTTTAATGTTTTTCCTAGAAACGTGCATTTTGATGTCTGATTTGCCGGCTGACGTGGCATGTTTTGACAGTTAATAAATGTTCAACACTGAGAGTAAAAAGGGAGCGCGAGAAACAATTAAATTAAAGGAAGAAAAGGTTTTTATAATGTGTTTATTACAGCGAAATGTTGAGAAATATTTTGCATTTTAATTTAAATTCAAGTCACCAAACAAATATAAAGCTTTATTCGTTTTTTTTTTTTAATACAAAACATATTTTCTCCATTCCCCGAAAATGTAGTTGTAAAGACGCAGCAGAGAATAAACAGCGGAAAATTTTTAATTAATTTCACTCCCAAAATGGAGGATATTATTGTTATTATTGTATAAGATTCGTTCTCAACAAAAACAATATACAAAAAATCTCCATTTTTGCATTTCACGTTGTACTCGTATTTTTCTTGATAATTATTTTTACATTCCAACTGCGAGGGATTTTAATTGTAGGTAAGTATGCTTCCAACCGACAAAACTTGTCCATGGGCCAAAAACAAAAGAAATAAACAAAAACAACAACAACAAAAAAGGAATGAAAAGGAAAGCGGAAAATCCCCTGCAGCCATGGGACGAAGCTCGAATTAAATCCCTCAGAATGGGACGACAATATGCGACTTTCGCTGCTCGCTGGGCAAAAACAAGGAGCGGGTGTATTGAGGAATAAAATTTAGTTTAGTTTAATTAAATAATTTTTGGCAAACTTTTAAATTATATATTTTCCATTTTCCATTACCAACCTCTGTGTTATTTCCGACTTGAAGTTTTCCCTTCGTTAGCTTCCACGCTTCATAGTTGCTTAATGTTGGCGTGAACAGTTTTATTTGCCAACAGCAATGGGCGAAAATTTCCATCTGCATCTGGCACTGGGACAACGTTTGCGCCTGGGACTCGGTCTGGTCCTGGTCTCTCGGCCAGCATAAAGTCAACTCATTATGAAATTACTGCTAAAAACTAAGCTTTTCCCAAACGGAAAGGAAAGTACGGTACGAAGGAAGTGCAAAAAAAAAAGAGGAGACGATGACGATGACTGGCAGCGCTGGAGAAAGCCGGCAAGGAAAACAAATTAAATTTAATCGATTTGTGAAAAGCTGCCAGACAACAACTGCAAGTAGTGCTTGGGCTGTGTGGATGGGTTGCATGGTAAATTAAGTGAGGGCGTGTCCGGAGTGGGGACTTGGCCAGAAGCACTTGGCCACTTGGCGTGTCCTGCGATGCCTCTAAGCGCATTCTAAACAAATTAAAATTCAATTAAAAAGATGAAATGCCATTTCAGGGCTTAGAATGCAGCCTGAGCTCAGAGCTCAGAGCTTTGGGCTCTGGAACTCTGACTTGGCCATTCCACAGCTGAATTTGCCTCTGCCTGGGTGAGTTAGTTGCCATTGGCATTGCTGCTGCTGCTTAATCTCAGCTAAAAGGCATCACATTCAATTCATTTAGCGGCAACACGTTGTCGCAGTCAACCATCATTATCGTCATCCTGCTGCTGCTGCTGCTGGACAACAATCTCAGGCTGCAGCATCATTAATCCCTCGCCCGCAACTTGAGTGGGACTCGAGCATCATTTCCAATTACCAGACTTCCGACCAGACGCCCAAGAAGCTTTGGCGGCCGCCGCCTACTTTGGGCGAATTTTTTGTTGATAATTTTTGGTGGTAGGACTCCCTCTGGCTTGGTCACGGTCATCGATGTGACAGTGGCAGCTCTCATTATGGCCACTGCTGTGGCCTCTGGCCATGTAACCGCCAACTCTTATTCGCCTCGCTGTCGCTTTTTTCATGCATTAAAATCAGCGTCCTATCAGCGCCTCTCACCCCATTACGCGAATACTCATTCCCGATTCCCTTTGTTGCTTTGCTGAGGGGATGTTCTTTTTTTTTGGCTTGCCTTTCTGTAGTCCTATCTCTCTTGGCTTTGGCATAATGGCTGGAAGCATGTTGTACCGCCCCATCCACTTTCTGTAATGAATTGGCTGAAACGGAGAGTTCTGGGCTCTTGTGGTTGGCTCACTGACTTTCCAATGGCCAGAGTTCAAGTTGAGGCGTGAAATTGTGTGAAGTTTGTCATGGCAGAGGGCGTCGTTCAT